GTGAGCGCGTGGAGCTGCACCGCATGCCTCACCCGCCCGGCCTGATCCTATCTGCTCTGCCGGTGAATTTATGTGGTTTACACCCACGGTAAGGCTCGCGGCTGCTTTTCACTTCCCTGCTGCCTCCCGCTCTGGGGTCCAGGGCCCGAGGAAGGGGTAGCACCTCTGTGGACCGTTCATGGGAGTCAAGGTTAGAGTTTGCAAATTCTACACGCAAAGACTTTGTTGATATCCCGTTTGACCTGGTTGGAAGGAACATGATACAAAGGTTTTGTTGTTGTTGTTGTTGTCAGTAGAAGAAAATACATACATACAGTACAGTTTATGGTTGAAAATATTTGCTTTCATTGTTTCCATCAATAATACTTCCTCAACAATATATGTTTCATGCACACAGATAATAAAGTTTTAACTGCCAATATCGTTTTAACTCTGTTGCCAAAATACATTTTAAACTTGAATGAAATAGCTTTTTATAAGCATAATTTTACCAAAATTAAAACTTAAAAGCAAAACATCTGTCACATGGGCGGCATGGTGATGTAGTGGAGAGCACTTCTGCCTATCTGTGTGATGTTTGCATGTTATCCCTGTGTCAAGCTTAGATTTCCTCCGGGTGCTCCGGTTTCTCCTACCACTAAAATGTGCAATACAGTAGGTGAGGGTTGAATCAGTGTGTGTATTAGTAAGTATTGGACTACAGATGGAAATAAACAAATAATAAAAAGGTAATATGTACAAAGCACTAGTGACAACCAGATCCCTCGCCTAGTCCAATTAAATAAGAGAGAAATTCCAGTCTTTTTTGGAGAACGGCGTCAAACCTTTCCCACTCCATGAGCTTGAAACCCCGTAAATCAGATACTATTCAGATACGGCCAGCAGATGCATTTAAGAGCCCTGGGAATGGCTTAGTTAGAATTTGGCGACTCAAATCATTTTCATCATCATTTGCACATGTTTCCTTGTTTGGTTTTGTAACGTGAGGCATAAGCAGGAAACACGGTGCATTTAATTACACAGTGGAAATTAAATGCCTTTCCAAACTTGACTTGATCACTTACCAAAAGTATGCTTATACAGTATGTATGATAGCAGCTTTATTGACAAATACTATTCCAAAGTCACGAGACGCCTCTGAAAGCACCACAAGGCTTTGTGTCGCTCATGGAGATGGGTTTGAAGGCAACACCAAAGAGAGTCATTTTTATTTTATTTTACGTGCTCTGTCTTCCATTTAATGATGTGTCGTGTGATAAATTATAAAAGCAACATGCAACTATATTACGGTGCAGTCCATGGAGAATAAAAAACCCAAGAGTCTCAATGTCTTCCTCAGCAAATTAATGATACAGGAAACCAATGAGAAAAGCATATTTGTCATTTCGAAACATAAACTGACCCTTGCACGTTCACAAGAACACAATGATGCATCTTCTCAGCAGCGGAGCATCCATAGCCCTACCACATCCTCCACAGTTTTCATCCATCTCATCCATCATTGCCTGACCCCAATGTGTTAAGAGTCCACAGCATCCTCATTACCGCTGCGCATGTTCCGGCCCTGACTAACAACCGTCGGCTCTGTAGGGATGGTGGTCGGCAGTCTACCTCTACCTGGTCCAAGTAATTGACCCTTTCCACAGTTTGAAACAAATCTATTACAGGCGGGAGGAAATGAAGGTGGTTTTGAGCTCACAGTGGTCAGTTATAGGCCACAATCAATTTTCTCGCGAGCGGGAGAGAGGAGCACCGGTAATGGATTCTTGCACTGGTGTATTAACTGCAAACCACTATGGGAACGTGTGAATTACTTTGCAATAGAAATGCAGTTATATAGGTACAGGAGGACTTCTTAAAGGTTTTTTTTAAACAATAGTCATGAATGAGATACAGGCTGCCACAGAAGCATTGCAGTTGTCCAATTTGCATTTAATAATTGGACAACTGCAATGTTTCTTTCAAATAAACCGCAAAAAGCATTTAATACATCCATGTTACATTATTCACTTCCAAAAGATAATGTCAGCAAATTCAAAGTTTATATTTCTGTAAGACACTGTACAATTATACGTTTTTTTATATAATAATAATATATTTAGAATAATCCCTCATCTTGGCATCACTAAGATCAGTACAATTTGCTGTAACCAATCAGGAGGCCGCGGGGGATAAGCAAGGATATGTCTAACCAAATCAATTATTAAATTTCATAAATGTTGGCCGACACATACACCAGTTCCTTTTAAAAAACGTGGCCGAGGAGGCAGATTAAACGGCAGAAATGACAAAGGACATATGCAACTTAAATCTAGAGACGCAAAATACAAGAAAATGCAACAACAAAAATTTATGTCTGAATGAATGAGGGCAGTGGTGCGAAAAAGATCGGGGACCAAATCTACAGCCGACAATCCATCAAACAGCAGTTAGTCGTAAGTTCTGAAGAGTTTTTCTCATATCAGCACTCTATTGTTGACAACATCACAGTTGTATTTATAACTTCAGAACAACAATGAATTCTCAGATGAACTTCAACACAATGAGGACTTATGAACCTGAGGCGTACTGTATAATGATGTAACGATGTACACAAAAGGAAGCACTTTGAACCTTGTGTTCTTGAACTCAGGTGAACGCGGCTTAAAGCTGTGATAAGACCTTTTCCTTTCGTGAAAAAATAAATAAATATATAGGTTGCTCGTGCACTTTAAGGTTCTACGTGGCGTGGATCAAAAGAACTCGGCGGGCAGACACCTTTGTAGTCTATTGGTCACGCCGTTGGACAAAAGAGAAGGTTGGCGTGTGCAGTCCGTCAGCACATTCCTGGTGTGGATGACAAAGCCAGGGTGAGCTGCAGAGAGCATTGTGGACCTCATAACCATCGACCCTTGTGTCTTTGTCCTGGAGAAGCCCCGTGTCCTGGGATCCACATGTGCACATTCACTTAGTCTGTTGACACTTGACACATTGGGTATAGCGATAGATTCGTTGTTCATTTCAGGTAAAAAATACACATCTAATATTTGCAATTGCACTGTTGATAACAATATTTGCTGATTCAGTGTGTATTCAAATGCAAGTGACTTCTTTCTCATTAAAACCATACATATTTTTGGAGATTTTGGCAGTTAACGGGTTCTAATATCATCTGAAAATTCCTCAGATATGCAGGTAATTTCTCTTTCAACTTGAGAAGAACAGTGGAACAATGGAAAAGAAAATGTGGATTATGCTACAAGACGATGAGCTTATAAATTATGTGAATGTTTTGTATAAAGCCAAAATCTGGAGGAAGGGCATCATAGAATTAGAAACTTGGGCCTGAGGTGGATCTTAGGTGGATTTTAAAAACGTTAAAAAAAACACTTTTCATGAAAAACTCTTTGATAAAAAATGTTGGTATAGTGAAAAAAATTAAACTAAACAATTTATTTTTGAATGGGTATGGGGTCCTCAAAATGTTTAATGCTAGAGGATGCTAAAACCCATGTTTTATTTTATTTTTTGTAAATATACAAATTTTTGAACCAATTCAGGCTGCAAATGTGTGCTATATGAAATGTGTCCTGAAGTGCACATACTGTATACATTGACCTCATATTTAAAGAGAAAAGGGAAATACAAAACAATGCAAAGCTAGTTTACACAGACAGTTGGACAATCAGTGCATCAATATAGTCCATAAAGGAGAAAATAAAAATGATAAGACGAAGTGCCTGAGTCTCGTGTAAACTCATGAGAGCTGATGAAAACTCTTGGTCTGACTGTAGAAAGACTACACAGAAAATCCACAGCTACAAAAAGATCCAACGTATTCTGAAGTAGTGCTTGAAAAGTCAACCTATCAAAATAAAGAAATCAAAAACAAGAAATCACAGCCATTGACTGAACCTTTTGCATGTGTGGGAAAAGGCTTGAGCACTGCAGTAGATAGACAAACAGATGGCCTTGGACACAAAGTATTCATACAAACACACACACAGAAAAATCAATGAAGTATCCAAGAGAAGAAAAGAGAATAAGGTAAAAATGTTCCCTGAGGAGATGTTGATGAATCAAATTGAGTAAATCATTGGAAGTCTAATACAAATGAAGCAATTCAATCGGTTATTGACATAGTCGTCAACTAATTTAGTATTGCATCTTTTTAACTACACACATGTTTAAACGAAGATACCTAACGTTTTACTGTCGTAGTGCCCTTGTGTGAATGGCCTCTCAAACAGAGCTGCCATCACTACTAAATGAAACAGAATAATTGAATCCTCTGTATTTGAAGCATCAATCTGTAATAATAGATAGTTACGATAATTGTATAATTAACAATAATTTTGTAAATAAAATATTACAAAATTACAGATTACTCTTCTGATTAATCAATTAGTTGTTTGGATCTCAAAAGGTCGGAGAATATTCTTATACATCTAACCAAAATAAAGCTCAAATTCCCATCTTCATAGAGACCGTGGCTTGTTGTTGATGTTGTAAAGACATTTTCATGTCATTCTGCAGTTTAGAATTATCTGGGTCATAAAACCTCCAAAAAAAGATCCATTATCACAACTTGATTCCTGCTAACAACTAAACGATCTATTGAAAGAATAACGGCTTGTTATTCAATGCCTTGGTACAGTATTATCTTTCTGTCTCTATAAGTTAAGTTGAAGTTAAGTTTTATCTTCGTCCCATCAGAGATGTTGGAGGCAGTGGTCACCCTGACCCTGCCACAGCTACTCAAGAGGCCCTAACTGGCCTTACCCCCTAACTCCTCAGATCTTTAACAGTACCATTTAATAATCAAAACCTGGCCTCCACTGAACCAGAGGAGGCACCTTAATCAGTATATCCTAGTTCACTCAGTTTTTAAATCCAAGTTCAAAAGCTTGGAGAGCTTGGAGAGTCTATGGTTTCTGCTGAAATCAATTGTGTCAGTGGATAGTGCTCCAGAGGAAACTGAGGAAAAAGGCTTGAAAGCTGCACACCTAATGGCCGCAGCAATGATCAGAAAGTTTATTGGAAAATCCCATGAGGTCCCCGACACTGAGCAGCAGATCCATCTTGTCCAAATGCTCAGAAAAGTGGAGAATGGGGTTAAGATCCCACAGGACAGTCAGCTCACGGACAAAGACCTCAAAACCATTGGGAAAGCTACTGCCAAAAGCTCGCTGCAGGAGTGTGGCTCGGTCTCTGCTCTAAGTGACTACAGTTTCACTGAAGCTACAATGAAACTGAACTTTGGCCCATCATCCTCAAACTCTTATTTTTAAGAGTGTGGAAGGTCTTTAGAAGTCACAAAATCTGCTCGGGACATTTGAGAACTTATTTATCATCTCCCATCTACTAATATAAGCCATTAGACCCTGGTCATTACATTTTTCAAGATGATGTAATAACAGTCTCTTAAAACTGGGCCAGAGTAGCATTCAAAAAGAATCTCATCACAATAATGGCTTCAACATAAACAACAGCATTTAAGAACCTTCTTAATGTTCGTCCATGACATCAAAATATTTGTTGACGTGTCATGTAAAGATCAAACATTGTACTTAGCCATAGGTGTTTTTTGTAATTACATTCAACATGTTTTATAAAATATGTTTTATTATCTTCTGAAGAAATATTATTTTCTGATGATAGATCTGCAGCGTCACCCCCATAAAATTATTTTAAATATATATATATATATATATATATATATATATATACACAATAACCAAAATCACTGTAATATTATGTCCACACTGTCTTTAACATCAGAATACAATTCACTTATAAGCCACATTTTAGACCAGCGTAAATGCAGGTGTCAGAGAGTGTCAAAATCCACCATTTGTAGTGAAATCATATTGCTAAAGAGTTAATACCTCTCTGTATCAATACAAATATTGCCAAGACATCCATCACTATCAATCACATAACAATATTTGAATACAGCCCGAGTTGTCTTTGCATCCATGAATGTATTACAGAATTTGCATCTTAACAAAAACAGGCAGCAGAAAACGTGTAAATTAGAATGTTGTTTTTCCTCCTGAATTTCATCCTTTATAAATAATAACACACATAAAAGCACCTTGTAATGGGATCTACTGTGTGTTTCTATGGGGGGTGTTAAGACAGGAAAAGAGAAAAACAGTTTAGTCTGTTCTATTCTGAAAAGGGGAGAATCGCAGCCTTAAATTACCTTGGCTGGCACATGAAAGTGAACCAGGGTGGCGGTTTAGAGACGATAGCACTTAAAATACAGCTGCAACCGCCAAGCCAATAAATGGGAAAGAGTAGGGAGAAGCACTTAGAAACATTTTAAACCATGCTTGTGTACTGCTACTGTTGCTTCGGTGCTGGGAGTGGCCCGGGCCCTGGCACCTCCCGTCTGGGACCAGCCCATTATGGCCTCTTGGGGTTTTCAGCCTGTGGTGAGAACGCAAGCTGGATGTTTGAAACCACTAACGCTCTCATTATAGTCTAAATGCAGTGCGACACAACTGCTGCCAGCGCCAAAGGTAGACGCGGCACTATATTCTGGCTCACCGTTGTCCTCGAAACCGCCACTTTGTCCCTGCGCATCCTAGAGAAATGAAAAGCGTTCTCAAAAACTTGTGCTGTCACCAATACTGAGCACGCCATCTCGAAGGAAAAGGCTGTAAGTGCGACATTTTGACATTTAGTTATTAACAGCATCATAGTGTGTGACTATTCAGAATATTCAGGCAAAAAAAATTTGGCATTATGATCACTTCATTTTTTCATGAAGAATACAAAAATAAAGTTAGTGTAAGTTTGCAGGAGGCCATTAGTCAAGGAAGGCCATGCACCATTTTTCAGTCACAGTACTGTTCTGGCTTGCTGAAAATTTTTGCAAATGTTCTGTATCTTGCATCAATTCATTTGTTAATTTGAACGTAAAAAAAATATGATAAATACTAATAATAATAATATAATGCATACGTTTTATATAGTTCTTTATAGTATACGGTATAGCAAAAACAACTGTAGCCACAGATGCCCTGAGCCAGCAGAAGCATGGCTGCCAATCTAAGACTACAACCACAAAAAATTATTCATACTCATACATGTGGGTGGGGTGTCTAACTATGAAGTATGAATACATACATCCTGTTTTCCCACAGAAAGCCTTTGCAAAATGTTTATCAACTTATCTTTTTGCAGCCGTGATCGATTAAGCAGCTCCCATTTTTACATCTAAACAAACTGTGGTAAGAAAAAAGAAAATAAAGAAAAGATGCTAGATCTGCCTAGAGCATTTGGAAGTTTGAAAACTAGATCCCCAGTTTAAAGCAATAAATGACAAAAACAAATCTCAATCATTTGTCTGCAATTGTTATTGTCAAATCAACACAACACGGCTAGCATTGCATTTGCCGCCTGCACCATTTTTGATTTAAAGCGATTTACCTAACTTCACTACTTCCCTCCTTTGATTCTTATTTCCAGTAACACCTCCATCTGGTCCTGTGTCTCCATACCCCTGCCACGTCCACCGGCTTGCACGCTTACGGCGCAGGGCCTGGCTCAAATGGGAGTCAGATGTGCATCGTTCATTCAGAGCACCTCTGCTCATCTCTCAACAGGAAAGACAATTTAACATTGCACAGACAATAGAGGATGATGAGCAGCAGATGGCCTTTCTCCCCAAATCAATAGCATTCTGCTCATAAAAGCAGGGAGCAAGTCGTTACCAACAACAACAAAAACATGAGGAGTGTGTAAATCTAAGTGGACTATTATCTATGCTTTAGTGGCCGATGCCAAGGTGACTATCGCACCTGCTGAGCCACGGCCGAGCGGCTTATTGCGGTCTAAGCTGCTGTTTTGGAGTGAGGGAAGACTTGGCAGCGGTGGATGATGGAGAATCCAAGTGTGGTACATGAATCGATGTTGTAATTTCCTGCACAGTTGGAATATTATGAAAATGTAGGGAAAAAAATGACACTACACAGAGTTGAATACCGTTTGCAACTTGCAGGTGTAGACCTACAAACAGACTTAGACATCTTCGTCAGACGTCTGAAACTGTGGCTGAAATCGGAGGAATGCTGTTCACATGGTTAACGAACTGTATATTTAATTACTTTTATATTTGTAAAGTTTAAATGTGTGCATTTGTGTCCTAAAAGCCTTCTATGGGCAAGTGTTGAAAATCAGCGTGGTTTTGCTATAACACTAAAGGCAGCGCATCTGGTCTGTCAAATGTAACTGTTGTGTCCATATCAAATAAATAAACAAATAAATTAAATGAATAAATAGACGCATTGAAAGAAGAGGTATTATATTGTCGAGTTAAAACAGAAGGCCAGTCAGTTCTTTTAAAAATGTTAATTGCATGCAGGTGCTATTCAGAAATGTGTTCAAAAGTTCATTTCTTTCTGTAATTAGACTTAAAATGGGAAACCAATATATGATAGAGCTTGAATACATGTGAAGTTAAATATGCCAAGCTTTTGTTTTGTCATCATTTAGTTGATAATAGTTTACAGTCTGTTTACAAAATATAAACCTTTTCTGACATTTATCATTTGAGTTTTACAAGCTGTGAGCCAATTACCAACATTACAACAAATAAAGCCTTCACTTTGCAAGCAAATTAGTTTGTCATATTAGTTTGACGGTTTAAGTTGAATTGCAGAAGGAAATGGACTTTTGGATGACATGCTGATTTTCCGAGTTCTATCTGTAGAGTACCTGCAAATAGTTTTGTTACGCAGTATGGAAAACAAAATGCAATACAATAAAGGTAGCATGTTTGGCCATTGTGTCAATGCATCATAACAACATGAGACACCATAACACCATATCACTTTGCATTGGTCCTGTGATATTCTGAACAACTGTTGGGAAGTTAAATAGGTCAGATGGATGGACATTTCACAGCTAATTTTATTGTATGTTTGATAAAGAAAAAAATACCTGCAATTAAATACAGACAATATAGACTAGTAATGCCATTCTGTGAAACACAAGTGCCAAAAACTCTGCCTCTAAAAGTCACATAATAAAGCACCCATCCATTCATCCATTTTCTACCCGTTCAATCATTTCTGGGTCGGGGGGTGGCAGTCAGAGATGCCACCCAAGCCACAGCGCACCAGCCCCTCACTCATCCTCCGGCAGGTGGTGAGTCCTTCTCATCACTAAAGGTAAACTTGATCATATTTGAATACAATAATTACAAAACTCCTGGCTCGGTGAGGGTCCAAACTTGCAATGTTTCTATTTAAACCATATTATAGTCACATATTTGTCAATGATTGTCTACTGTGTGCTCAGAAACAATGTGAGCTGTATCAAAAAGTCTGCTTTCCATTGTGTCTTCAGCGTGTACTGCAGATGTGTTTGTTTTTCAGCCCTGGCCTTGAGTAAGATCTGTGAGCACCCATTGATAGAACAAAATAACATTCAACAAACACATTGAAGAATACTTTGTTAAACCAATAAATCAGATGACTCGCTATTAAAGCTGGGGTACCTAACTTTCCAACCGCAAAAAAATGTAATATGTACTTAAATCCGTGGCTCGAAAACTGTTTTGTTCGCACGTGCAAGTATTTTTGGTCGCCATCACATCTTTACATACGCTTTTTTGGACGGAAAAGTTAAAAAGAGAGGACCACCCTCACTCAGCCAATCAGCCAATCAGCTCTCAGATGCACTCACAGGGCTGTCTCTCACAAAATAACATGTTTTCTAATGAATAAACAGCAGAATGTATGTTGTGATCTGATTTTGTCACACTATATTACTGTTCTGGTGGGATAAACACAATGTAATATATAGGAAAAATAAAAGTTGGGTACCCCAGCTTTAAATTATAAGCAATGTGTATCATTTATAAAAATACCCAGTCCAGACAAAATGTGTGCCTGTATTCTTTAAGCTTCTGCAGTTAGACTTGTCAAACTGGAGAATGCATTGACTAACATTGCTGAGGTTTTGCCCTGGTAATCCATCAGGGGTTTTATATTGCCACCTTAGAGCAGAGTGTGAAGGAAATTAGTTTATTGTATTATTTTTGGCCAGCAGCGTGTGCCACATTTCACACTCTTGTGGCAAAAGGGAGCGGTTGTTAGCTTTGGGGAATTAGTCAACGAGTTTCCCCTGGATATGAACTTGTACCTGCTGAGGTCTGACCACTGCTGTACACATGCGGTAATGCGAAACCCTTGAGGCACTCCTACGGCAACAGAATAGAGGCCTGCAAGCCTTATAAAACGTCAGGGAGATCGAATCAAGCCACCTTCTCCTTGCACACGTAAGCCCCAAAAGCATCTGCATAGGTCACCACGGACAACAGACTTCACAAGAACCTCAATATTTGTTTTGAACCTACTTCCAGTGTAATGCCACCCTCATTACAACACCACAACCATTTCCCAACACGTTACTGTAATGTTATTTCACAAGTATAGAATATGCAAGTGGGGAATTTGATAGGAGCTTATAATTACACTGTGATCTGTGTATGGTTGTCACTCATTGTCAGTTTCACATTTCATAACTTGGAAAAACATGGACAATGTTCCATGCTGGGATAAACTGGCTCTGTTAGCAAAGAAAGCAAATTTAAATAGATGTGGTCTGCAACGTAAAGCTGAGGTCCGACATTTCTGTGTGGTTAGCGTGTGGCGCCAAATGGCCCTAACATGGAAGCTGAGTATTCCTTGTGTGATGTCTCTTTTTGTTCTAAGTGCTCTACCACTTTTACAGAGCAACATTGGAGAAAAATGTGTTCATGTCTTTGCCAAGCATTCAGTGAACTTTACTAGAATGACCATTCTTTTGATATAAAAGCAATGATTGTGGTAGTGCTTTTAGCACAGTCCCCTTACAAAAAGAAGAAACCAGGCCTTTCTGTGCAGAGTTTGCATGTTCTCCCAGTGTCTGGGTGGGTTTTTTCCCTTCGTTCACCCCTGAACATGCACAATATAGGCTAATCTTCCATCTAGCCCTGAGGCACTGGTTGATGTATGGATCATGTGTAGAGGACAAATGTCCAATAAATTCACAAATACAATTATGTTAACGTTGGTTATGTTGAAAGACATGCAGATGTGCAGATAAACCATTATCTTTGAATCTTTATGTGCTGTCTTTTCAAATAACTTCATAGATCAATGCATCTGCTCAGCAAACTCTAGGAATTCCAGCTTCCATTAAGCAACATTTTGAGCACGATTTAATTTATTCAATTGTGTTTTAATTGGTTAATAGCTAGACCAAACTGCATTCTGAAACCCCTGGCTTATGAGAATGAATGAGTGATTATCTGCACGTTTCAACGTAATAAATATCAAGCAATGTGCATGATGGAGCATACACTTAAAGTCAAATTAAACTTTTAACAAATGTGTTATTAACAGGTTTAAGCATAATCAGTTGTAATCGATCTGATGCGTGCAGAATGGCCACTACACTGCGCACACAAGTCTCAAGCTTTTGAGTGCAACATTAATTTAGGGTTAATTCCAAAACAAAAGTATTATCTTCCATGCAGAAATAAACACAACGCTGGGCAGGCATGAATGTTAGACCTGGAAGCACGTATGTGATCCATGCACAACACGCACACAGTGTACGGGACACCATAGCACCACAAGGGACAGCAGGCGGCAGTACGTGTGCTTCTTTCACACGCTGCTCCGCTCAATAAAGACCAATATTAGTGCGTCTATAATAAAAACATATCAACACATGCATCATAACACCAACAAACAATACGCAAATTCCCTCCAAAGCGCACAGCATTACGCATTAACCCTCGCAAACCGCGCGACGTCAAAGTTTACAAACTTTTATTTTCTTGCAAGGGAGCAGGTTGTGTTGAGATCCACTCCTCTAAATGCACACGCGTAATAAGCAATCGGTGTTAAACTGTTGCTTCAAACTTTGACTTGAGCGTCCACTAAACAACCTCCAGGACCATGTTTCTCCTGTGAATGAATTCCACCAGATAGGAGCCATCTTGTGACCGCATATGCTCAAGCCGAGTCCATCCTCACACGCTACACACACACACACACCACCACGTAGCCTTCAACACAACTTCTGTCACTGGTGCCCCCCAAAAAACACGCAAGGGTGGAAGAAAAAAAAGTTTCACAGGAGCACAGTTATACCACCACAGAAAACAAATCCCAGCAAGAAATCAAACCCAAACGATCACATAGAAAGCAAAAAGAGATCGGTTTAGTTTTAAGACATTTGTTTCTTTTTTTTCTTCACGTACTTGAACAATCTCCCCCTCCGCGCTGATTGTGGCTCCAGCTCTGGAGAAGCGCCCTTGCAATCCCGTCGTGTATGTTGTATAGTCTCCATTGGGACTGGACTCGAAGAGGACCACTTCGACAAAAGCGGTATCCTTGGAAAGAGCGCTCCCGAGTGCGCAGGCGAGCACCAGGGACGCCAGAAGCAGCGAGTCGGCTACGCGATCCAAGCCTCTCCGCGGTAGAGTCATCATCTTGCCGGCTGGATCAGCGCCGAACGGGACATAATTTCAAAACGGCGTAACGTAACGTAGCGTAACGAGGCGGGTGAAAAAATAAGGAATCGCGTTTTTAAAAGAGTGATATCTGTAAGGTTGTGTAGTAGCACGGTCCGATCCGGTCTGGAAGCGTGTTTATTTCACCACTGAGCGAGTCTTGTCAATTACTTCGCTGCCTCTCTCCCTCTCTGTGTGTGTATGTGTGTGTGTGTGTGTGTGTGTGTAGGGCTCTTCCTCCCTCCCTCGTTCCCTCGTTCTTTCTCACCCCCCTTCTCTGTCTCTACAAAGCGGATCTCCTTTGATCTGCAAACACGTGATTTTCCTTCTTTTTTTTAAAGTTTTTTTTCTCTCTCCCAAAAGGGTTCTATCCCCACCCACCCATGTTCCTGACCCTCTGCTTTGCACTCCTCTCTCTGAAGTAGCGACACTCGATTTTATTTAAGGAGGCACCGCGGAGCACAGCGAGCAGCCACGGATAGAGTTATGGGTGTGTTGGGGGGAAATGCAAAAGTTTGTTAGTGCTTGTGAAGTGGATGATCGACCGTACTAGTCACGTAACATTAAAGAAGTTATACACCCCCACTTCTACCTGCGTGGAGCTGCCATACGACCTTAAAACTAACTCTCCTCTCCAGGACGCTCTACCGTTGAACCTGCACCTATGTTATGAACTATTTACAACAGTGCATTTGACATATAAACACATATATTTACCCTACAGGTACATTACATTGAAATAATGTTCAATGTTACAATTTGTTTGACCTGGATTAGTGATGTATAGGCCTATTCTTTAAGTGTTTCTCAACCTGGGGGTTCGGGACCATAGAAAGTATATTGACAATGCTACTGTGCTTATGGACACAGTTTTGCTCCAACTTGCTTTGGCTCCCATTGGCTTACATTGAAAAGTTAACTCCACTTGTTTAACTGTTTGTGTCTTTGTGTCACATTCATCGTTTTAGGCTTAAATATCTGTGGTTCACAATTCTGTGGGGTCCTTGAATTGATATTTTTGTGTTTGTAAATCCAGATACAAGCCCTAACAATTGAGCAATCAGGAGCCTTCAGTCCGGTGGGAAACAGACCAGTGGTGCTTCTGATTGGCTCTTTGGTTTTGTACTAATCAATTTACTTTTTTGTAAATCACAACAGCTTGTAAGGCCTCAAATCAAACAATTACAATATCCAAGAAAGACAGATATAAAACGCCTACAAATCATTGGTCCATATGATTAATCGTTGTCCATAAATTTCCTGGATCCTCATCCCCTAAGACCCATCTGTTATAGCAAGTAATATTGTACATGTGTTGCAATGGAAAGGCCTGACCATATAGAGAAGTGATAGAGCAATACAAACAGGCTTTTTCAAGATTTCTAGGCCCTATTATAAACTATATTAAGGGGAATTTTCCACAATGCTCATTTTTACATTGGAACATTATTTTTACATATATTTATTGTCTTCATCTATTCAATTCCTTGGACAATGTAAGTGCTACTGTAAGTCTCAATCTAAATTCTACACCTTTGAAAAGACAAAAGTATCTCACTTTTTAATGATACTATTCCAAACTATAAAATGTCATAGTATTTGATAGATAAAATATATATGTTATTAGCTGATCACTATCACGACCAGATGTGTTTTGTTGTGCAGTAGTCTCGAGCAATAGTTATGTTTATGGAAGACCTGCATGTCAGCTGGCAGCATGAAGTCGATCCGTGAACACTATTCAGGTGAAGAATGCAAAAGAATGGTCCACATGTGTTGAACGCATGCATTTCAAGTCTTTAGAGATCCTCCAGCACACTCACTGATGTGTTTTTATGATCTCCACATGCTCACAATCTGTCTCCTCCTGTCGCACTTTCTTCGGCTTCAATAACAACACTCCCTCTGTGCAATTACAAAGAAAACACACGTTATGTAGGCGCACTGGTTTCTTCCTCAGGTTATTGGTATTTTGTCCCAGAAAAAGTTGAATTGTTTTGTTGGTCCACAGTCAGATTCAGATTCAGATTCATTTATTTGCCATTTGCAGGTTAAAGTTGGGATTAGGAACAGTATATTATGATGCATTGATTGATGCATTGATTGATTGATCATTTATTGAGAAAATGTAAGATGAAATTGACTTCATTGATCTCACAGCGGAAATATGTTCATGTCACATTTGGCTCAGGGTGTGCAAAAAGTCTGGAACTCAACAGGAAATGTGCAAAAATGTAAAAAAAAGTGAAAAGTATACATTGATAATATCTTTTGTGAAATAAAGGTATAATATAGGTATTTGGTGTACAATTTAATTAAAAACTGACTGTTCAATTATCTAGATCGAGTGCAGGTTATCATTAACAACAAGCAAAGCAGCAGAAAATATCAACAAAATGAAATTATTCAAATATAAATCAATATTAATTCCTCCACTTATTCAATGTATCTTTTCAAGTTGAAAATATATATGTTATAGTTAGACTAGCTTGCTCTGAGATGAAATATATAGAGTCCTACATACAGTGGACCTTTATTACGTCCTTTTATGAAGTTTTATGAAGTTTTTTTCATGGCAAAAACGTTCTGAATTAAAATATATCAGATATTTCAATTATTGCCTGTATTTCATTTGACTAGCTTTGATATTGATTCATAACATATGCATGGCAGGCACAAACGTTCCCATCAGTCAAACACAATACAGTCCCCACAAATCCCAATCCCGAAATGTTTCTGCATAAAGAATAGAAAGTACAGTGTGTGGCATCCCCAGTTTGGGACCATATATTATTAATTCTTCTTAATAGGACTTTAAACAGAGTTGTGATTATAGTGCCCTCTGCTGACGGCCTGTTTGAACTCCAAATAATAGTAAATGAAAGTGAACACTGTGTGTGCTTCTCGTGACAGGTCCTTAATCACTGAGCTACGTGTGCGCATGTGGACAGCAGCTGTGGATCTTCAGCTGTGGATCTTCAGCTGTGGATCTTCAGCTGTGGATCTTCAGCCGACACTTCTTTGATAGCCTCTTGCTTGTTCCAAGAGTCAGAACTAGACATGGGGAGGCAGCGTTTCAGATTTATGCAGTTAAAATCTGTAGCAATCTTCCTGAAGATGTGAGGCTGGCATCTACTCTGGCAGTTTTCAAATCCAGGTTAAAAACAGTTTTACAGGATTTGATATTTTCTCTTTTTAATGCATTGTGGATATTTATTATTTTTAATCTCTTGTGTGTTTTTAATGTTTTATTGTTTTTAATTACTTATAATATTTTTGTGTTTTTTAATGTATATGTAGATTTTGATGTTTGTGATTTGCTTGATATGATGTGGGTTATGAAAGGCGCTATACAAATAAAAGTTTATTGATTGATTAATTGATTGATAGAGGAACGAGATCACCAGAAATGTTTCAGAGAAGTTATCCCCTGAAACTTTGTTCTCTTTTTACTTCTCATGAAAGCTATTTTAAAGCCTGTGTATTTTACAAACCACTTTAGGTTTTTAATGATGCACTGTGCAGTTTGAGTGGGCTGACTGAAACATTCTTCTTCAGTGAGATGTTATTTTTTTTGTTTTGGAAGGTGCATGGACCCTTCAAAACAACACGTTTTCGGCACATGTTGTTTTGAGTAGTTCTGAATGGAAGAGATGAAATATAGATGATTTTACAGTGGAACCTTTGTGAGCATCATGTGTTATGTAATACCTACATTATGGGGACTCACTAAAATCTTGGTATTTCGTCTGGGGGAGAAAAAGTGAAATTGTCCTATATTTTGTTGATACACTGTCAGGTTCAATTTGTGAATAGGAACAGTAAATTATGTTGCAAGGATGAGTTATACAGATCAACAAAATATGAAATTTGTAAGTAAGTAATGTTTATTTATATACCGCATTTTACAGACCAAAGTCACCCAAAGCGCTTTACAATGTTCAGAGTCAGATATTATTCAAATTATTCCACACACGGTGATGACAGAAGCGAGTCGCCGAACACACTGGCGCATCAGCTCCAATCAACACCATACTCACTCATTTACATTCATACCTTGTAAAGTGTGAATCAATTCCCATGCATTCCCCTACTTGTTCAATATAAGTTTTCAGTTGAAAATATATTATGCAGTAGTTAGGCTAGCTTGCACTGAGATTAAATACAAAGAGTCCTACCTACAGTGGACCTTTTTTGTGAAGTTTACTTTATTTCACAATTTTCTCTTCACGGTTGACATGGTAAAATCTTCCCGAATTGAAATATATATCAAATATTTGAACTGGTCGCAATTATGCTTAATTCATTGACAATATACTATAAGGTGCACCTGAATATAAGTCTCGCCAAAAAATAAATATATATTCCAAATATAGGCTGCACTTGAATATAAACTGCAGTATTTAATTTTTGTAATGTGGCAGATAGACGAATGTTTTAACTGATAACGACATGATTTGATGAGGTGTTTAACAAGTTAATCGTTAGCTTCCATGCCATGTCTATTGTCTCGACAATAAACAAGTGTCCTGGAGTTACGGATCCTTGATGAAGTCAAAATAATAAACTGCTCTGACAACTCTATCACAATAAAAACACATATTAGCCGCATTGCAATATTAGAAGGTAGTGTCTTATAGTCAAGAAATTACGATATCTGAAAGACCAAAATTGTTCCACATAACTTCTCTTTTGCACTTTCAGGCAATTTGTCCTTAATTGACTCAAAAGTCAATTTGACAAATGTGTGTGCTATAGGGTGCTAATAATACCCAGGGATAATACCCAAAGCGAACATGGTATTTGAGTGTATTTGTTGAGAGTGGCACTATGTGTACCCAATGGGCTGAAGTGTTCCTTTGTTGGCTCTGTGCTGACGTTATGGTTTAATGAAGAAAGAGATGATGAGGAGGGGACGGTCGTGCCCGTTTACATTCAGAGCAGAGCATTACTGTGGCATATGATTACAT